TTATCTGAGCTTTAACGAATTACCAAACTGGTGGAAGTAGCTCTCAGAAGCCGCGAGGATTCCATCCAATATGGCTCAATGGGTCGAAGAGGTACATAAACTGTCACACCAGGTTAAAGTTCAGTCTCGTTGCGACAGATAGGCATCAGTAGTAAGCCGGTACGTGGTACCGACGCTTGACTGCCACATTACCACCACCATTCGCACGTCGGTCAAGAATACTGCGTGGGTTGTCCGATCCCCTACGCTAATCACTGCAGTAATCCACTGTAAGTATGCTTTCTCGTTGTCACAGTATAAATCCACCGCCAACTTCTGCGACGGTCGACCAAGGACATCATGCAGCATCATTGGTTCCCTCCTCTGCCGGATTTCGTGTAAATAGCACGTTGAGAATTCCACACATGATCCTTGAGTTGACCCGTCATTCCTGACCAAAAGATCAATTCTCTTGCTCGGTTAATGGTATAGTTGACACCCAGGTGAGCGTGATAAACGTATTTCAGCATTACTCATCGGAGCGATGACGGGATCAGAATACGGCTTTTCTTGAACATCAAACCATCATAGACAGAGAGTTAGTCGCGAAAACTGAAGTAGCGTGTTATTTCCTTCGGCAGCTGCATCTTCGTTTCTGGCCAACCATTCATAAAAATGTATCGCAAAGGTACACACGATGCATCTTCCTCTGTGTGGCGCTCAATTTCTTTTGGACAATGATCTATACCAGGTTTACTGTTTCGACGTCCTCTGAATTATGCTCGGCTACCGGCAGATGAGCACTTGACAGGGTGTGCGGGATGAATATTTGTGCACCAGGCGTGTACACAATATCAACACCGTACGTCTGAAGTTTGATAAGTATACGTTGAAGACGACGAGGAACAATGTGCAGCGGTTTATTAGCCATTGATACAAGTGGTTTATGATCGGTATACGCAGTTGTCTTTTTTCTGGAAATACAATCGTTGAAACGCTCCATGACATAGACAACCGCAAGCATCTCCTTTTCAATCAGAGCATACCGCTGCTCGATCACGTTGAGTGTCTTATTGCGGAAATACAAAGGTTTCCCATTCTGGAAGAAACGGCACATATTCCGTTCATGTTATTGTCACACTGAACCTCCATATGCTAGGCTGGATTGTAATAGCAAAGTACAGACGCGTTGATGATAAGGTGTATAATAGTTGCAAATGCGGTTTCCTGTTTCTTTGCCTAACTCCACCTTACTACTTTGTGGGTTAGCTTCCTGATCGACGTCATGATATCAGTGAGTCTTGGCATAAAATAGCTCAAATAATTCACCATACCGTCTGAACGATGAACTTCCTTCACGTTGTTAGGGAGCGGCATCTTTCGTGTTAACTTAATGGTTCCTGGATCGATTCCTTCTGTTGTTAGCCCATGCCCATAGAAAACTACATCGTCTTTCCGAGAATCAAACATCCTTAGTTTAAGCTTGGTGTTCTTTTGCACACAACGCTGCAAGAAACGGTGGAAATTAGCGCCATGCTCTGAGTCCGTAGAGCCGTAGAGCAAAATATCGTCCGCCACATATGTTACGCCATCTAAATCGTCTATCGCTTGCACCAATCGTTGTTGAAAAATTTCCTTTGAAACCTTCAAACCAAACGATAAACGCAGCCAAGGATATCGACAGAACGGTGTGGCAAATGTCGTAAGGGAACTGGATTTTTCGTCTAGAGCCACGTGTCAGAATGCGGAAGACAAATCTACCACCGTGAAATACTTAGGTTTCGACAAATGCAGCAAAATATCTAGGGTAGGTAGTGCATAATGCTCTCAACGCAGGACATCATTCAACGGTTTCGGGTCAGTACACACGCGCAGTCCGCCTCTACTCTTCGTAAAGATTGCAAGCTGACTAACCCAGTCGGTTGGCTCGTCAACATTGACAATCACACTTTCCTTCACAAATCTGCTCAATTCAGCTCTGAAACTGTCACGCAGCGCAAACGGATCTCTCCTAGCCGGTAGTTCAGTCCGTCGTATCAAAGAATCCAACGACAAGTGAGCGACTCCCTCGAAATTTCGCAAACTCGGGCTAAACACAGATGGATATCGGTGATTAAAATGAGGTTTTCCCTTCCAGGCATGCACGGAACGATCATGGTTGAAAAAACCGAGAGACTAAATAAAATCAATGCCCAGAATCGGTGTGAGCTCCTCCTCCGCAACCATAACCTCCAGCCGATGTGGCGCTCCGTTCCTTGGGTTAACCACTCCGATTGCAGCTGGGCCCTTCGGATGAAGTCTGGAACCATTCATCATACGTAGACAATTTCGATCGGATCGGATGAACATCCAGGGACAGTGCTTCCTGGGTAGAATGTTGACAGTAGCACCCATGTAAAACTGGAATCGTACGGTTTTTGCCTACGATCAAAAGAGTTGCGTAGACACATTTTTGTTGCCAATTGAATGTTGTACGTCTGTAGGTCACACATCACGAACGACCGCACACATTGGTTGAGAGGCAGCAACGAGCAAAATGGTTCCTTTTTCCACATTTGGCGCATTTCCGTCCCCACACCGGACACCGTTTGCGGGTGCGCGGGTGTCGTGCAGCGTAAAAGTTGTAGATCTCCTGTCTCACGTTGGCGGCCTTCGTTGTTTTGTCTTCCGAAACGGCACAGTTCCTCGTCCGTTGCGAGTTTCATTCGGTGGTATTGATCCGCGGTCGAAGACTCACTGTTACAGATATCGATCGGCTGCTGGAACGACAAGTTTCGCTGTCGCAAAAGCCGCTTTGTCGTACCTATATCATTGATTCCTAAAACGTATGAGACTGTCGCCTATGCATTTACAGAAATTTCAGGAAAGGCCTAAAATCTCCAACTCAGTGATGTGCGCGTCGATGGATTTATTTGGGCCTCTGCTTCACGAGAAGGAAAGGTAACACTGGTATGTCCCGTTGGTTTGGCCTTTGCAATATGCACTGAACTTTTCAATGAGCGTTTCCAAATCTTTGGAAACTTTACCTTTGTCGTAGTGGAATGTCTCTAGCACATGCCATGCGTCATCTTCGGCTACGTTTCAAAACATCGTCAAGCGACACACCATCGATTGCTAGTCCAGACGTACTAGTGTGCAGAAGTCAATCCGCTCGCTCCTCCATAGACGTCAATTACTTGCCAAGTTCCGTCCATCCATGTTAAATGAGGCAGGCATTTGAACAGTTAGTGGTGATCCAGTCATCATCCGAGTGCCTGCCGGTCAATTACTCACTAGCTCGTCCATACTGGCTCCAGGAAACAGTTGGTCGTTGATGGAGGGGACGGGGTGCACGGTCCTTAGGGCAGTGATAGGCTCAAAGAGTGGTTCCATGCACTTAGTGTGGAGCGGACTACGGTCTAGCCACCGCCTTGTGTGCGCCTGATTCCCCAAATACAGCGTTATTGTGTTTGCCTGTGAAGGAGTGTGGGTCGGCTCCGTTGATGAAACGTGGCTCCCATCCACATGCCTCCCGGTCTTATTCCTTCGGGTTTACACTGGATATGGGGTTTGTGGTTGGAGCTGTGGGTGGTGCAGCGCAAGCCATCCATGGTCCCTCTGTAGGCGCAAACGTGCAATGGCTGTTCCCGTGGAGGTCATAGTGACAGGCGAATCCGGATACGGATGCCGCCTAGTATGTTACACACCTGCGACGACGGACAGCCGCAGGTGGGAGTTGGCGGGTTTACACCAATTTGACTAGGGGTACCTGGCTTGAGGTGGGAAGCAACAAACCACTGAGCACCGGAAGGTGGCCACCCACCGTCAGAGACAATGCATAGCACCCGTACTCTATGCCAACAGAGTTGTGAGCTTATAACCCGTAGGCCTGTTGTCCTCCATGGTTAATTTTGGAAGGAAGAGGGCCATTGACGTTTCTCTAACTCCGAAAAGGATTTGATTGTGAGACTGAATTGGTCTGACCCCTAACCATTGATCTGGCTGGTATGAGTTGCTCTGAAACCACTTCGAAAGTACCACCCAGCATAGCTCAATGGGCCACGAGGGTAAGCAAAACATTGCACCACGCTAATGTCCAGTCTCATTGCAGCCTGTGGGGTTCTCCTTGATATTCTTTGATACTAAGTTTCAGAAATCAATCCTGTAGGAACAAACGTTTATTTGGGAAAATCAACCCGGAAAAAATTACAGAATGTTCGGCAAGCCAAACCCCTCGATATAGGTTGAACATGCACGTCCATAACTAACGACCCTTCTGAGTCCATGAGGTTCCTCCTCTGACTCAGTCAAACAAACCTTGAATAACACACACGGCAAATCGGTGTCCAGTAATCAAATCTGTTACGCCTTTCTCCCATTAGCTGTCTGGCTCGCTCGGTTGGTCCATACGTTTACTCTGATATGACACTCCCATCACAACCCCGCTCCAGGTTGACCCAAAACGCAAATCGTACATCAAACAAAATAAGGGGAAGGTGTCAGAGGGTACGGTTTATCGAGCACAGAACAACGAAGCTCGCGATCCGTGCACTACACAATTGTCTGCCACAAATGTCAGTACAAGCTGAGAGGTCAAAACCAGCTAATGCACTAAGGCCACGTCGAAAAGGAAAGGAAGGGTGTGTAACAACGAACTAGTGTTGACTTGTCAATATCTGTGATCAATCAAACTATAATTAGAGCGGTCTGTTCCAGTGCAATTCAACTCAAACTTATACATACGTAGTTGGTCTCCAATAGGAGCCGGTTTGCCGCATACTGGTCTTTTTTGGTCTTCCTGGGATTCGTTTTACACTAGAAGTCCGACGCAACAGTCCCTTACTTCAGACTCCCAACTGCCTCGTCTGACGATTTTACTATTTCTTTTTCGCTTCTGTTGAATGGTCCTTTTTCCTTTCTCCCTCGTACATGCTTCCCCGTTCCTTTACTATTATTATTTTTATGATTGCAACAGGCTCCGTGGTACTCTGACAACAAGGAATAGAAGAAACAATAGTCCAGCAAAACGAGAACAAACTTACTTGAGAGCAGATCGGGATTTAAGTCATGTGGGCTGCAAAAGAGAGGATGCAACAGCAAGTGATAATTCGGAATGTGATGATCTCTGAGGACATTTGTACTTAAGAGTGAGCGCTATTCAAGAATGGAGTATAACTAACTTTGTCTCACTTTCTGCAGTCAGGTCAGTCTGTGTCGGTGCTAAAGCACTCCTCGTCTCCGGATAGGTTCCCCCACACTTATTGGCTGGATTGTTATAGTGGAAGAGAAAGTCGGCTGATTCGCCTAAGCTATCACAGGTTTGCGCGGATGAGGCCGACAGTTCGAGACCATGTGGAAATAGTTGGGCGGAAGTGGGTGAGCGACGCGATCTACACATAGAACTCGTGCGTTGACGATCAATCGGTATCGTACCAGACACACTTGCTGTTGACCCTGGCTCGCTCTGGTCGATAAGTCTTTCTGTCTTTGAGCCGACGACTGGATGGGGATACTTGAAAGGTCCAAGAACCTCATGTACTCTCTCAAGAGTCCCGGTTGGGTCAACAATAAGTTGAGGCTCCGAATGATGCAAGTTGGACACTTCTTGCTTGATGTTTGGGTCGTACACGACGCAAATGCCTGTGAAATGGGAAAAATATCAAGGAAACATTGAACGATACGACAGAATAGAGCGATAAATGGCAGTTTTGGCTTAGGCGTCTGCTAAGTATTCATTCAATGTTTGCTGAGAGCATTTTGTTTCGGTTACTTGACGATGGGCGGCGAAGAGTTCAAGAAGGCGTTTGTTGTACAAGCAGCAGGAAACAAAGTCAACAAAGGCAAGTTTGGGTGCTACTGATTGGGCTAAGGATACAAGGAATCCCTTTTGTCTTTGGATCAATGCCATACAAGATATGGCTCACGGCCGGCATTACTTGTATGGACGCCGTCGTTTGGCAAGATCGCAATTCTAAAGTGTGTCTGATAATAATATGTATATTCTCAACGAAGTGGGACATGGCAAAGCTAAACTGATCCAATCGTAGTATACAAATGAAGTCCAAACTGAGAGTACAAGAATTTTTAAGAGACCAAGTGTATTTCGTTTTTCATTGACGCTTTATTAATTTCATTCTAAAAAGGCTTCGGGTCAGATGATGGCGCAGTAGCGCCGAGCGTCACTCAGATGAAGTAGCCAGTAGAAGAAAATGGATAATGAGTAAGGGATAAAAACAACCTATACATGGAATGGCGTATGTAGATAATCACAATATTGTATATAAAAATCACATAGCATCATAAAGGTGAGGAAGACAAACAACAATAAAACACTCATGCGATGAACAGCCAACTTAGAAACTGCTGTAAAAATTCAGACTAGTTGAAACGAAGGATGTGGTCCATAGGTTCGGATACTATAAAACTGACAAAATTAGTTAAGTCGCATAAGTTAGGTTGATTACTTAAGGAACATCAAATGTGCAGCCTTCCTATATGTTCACGTTCCGCAGCTACAAACCCAGTCATCTGTGAAGTAAGGGTGATCGCGATGTGAATCGGTGAATGCCGCTAAGACGTTTACCTAATGTTGCCGTTTCCTCGCAGATAGTCAGTCACTGGCGACTGTGTTACTGATAGGGTGAAGGCGTCCCAATAGTGAATGTATACCCGGGCAGTTAGATATAACATCAAGCTCTCCACCCTCTCATCTCATACCCCATTCGTAAACAAGTACACTGGTGTAGCACATGTGATGAGTTTAGTCCATCTAAACAGTCATGTTTTGAGCATTGCGATAACCCCGATCACTATACCGCGCAAAATCAAGATACTCAACTGTGGCGAAGAAAGCGACTGAATGAAGGAAAGAAAAATTCAGTCAGGAGGAAACTGGAAGAGATGAGCAGTGATTAATAACGAAGGGCCAAACGCAAAGTTCCACTGGCCGATTGAGTGCCCTTGCGGTACGAAACAGCCTGACTCAGTATTCTGATCAAATGCCTCGTGCTTCTTCGTCCTATCCTCGCCAGCCAGCTTCTGCGCATCACTCAACAAGACGTCGCATCCATAAGTAGGACACGTCACTTGGGGTTAGGGCCAACCAAACCATAATCAAGGTCAAGAATAAGAGTGAATACATTCGTATCTAGCCGGACTTTGTTCATGCCAGGCGCACGATTGGCTACAATGGAACGTAGGCTAACAATACTCGTGTAAACTGTACAATGAACGAAGCTTTTTAGTGGGGTGAAACACCAAAGATGTTCAGCTGTTTTGGAATTTTTTAGCCTTCTGGTTTCACATAAATTACAGCAGTGTTTGGACACAATGGACGCAAAACAACAGATGGTCTTTCCAGGTTGCGTTATCACTGTCCCGGTTCACATAAAGCAGGCAAGATCAGCGCTGAACATGAGGTTAGGCTCGGGCTTCCAGTAGCGAATTGCAATAATGCCGATGTAGATGACATGCAAATAATGGGACTCGGCGAGCGTGTACAGTTAAACAGAATGTTTGAGAAGAGGACAAAAGATATCTAGCCAAACATAATATGGCGTTTGCCGCTTCGATGGCCTAAAAATGTAGGTGTCCTGGTAAGCGGGGATTCATACAACCGAAACAAATGGAATGGTTTATGGGTGCCTACCAAAGGACGAAAGTGGGATACCAAAAGTGGTCAGGTGCTGTAGTATGCAAAACGTCCAGGATGTAAACGAAGGACTAACACATGAATTCTGATCCATTCATATGCTGTATACGCGAGTGACAATTGTCGCAAGAGCCTGGGGCGAAGCATTTGAGAGCAAAGTGAATTTGAACGATGCCCTGACGCAACGCGCAACCCGTTGCCCTAAAAGAACTGGTTGAAATCCGGGTCTAGATCCAAAGTGTATGAGTTGATTTGGGAGGATCCTGCGACCACAAAAGTGGGTGCCATTGAGTATGCATGCCTGAGATGCGCTTCGGATTAAACGCATACCACAGCTATCGGAAATGTACCGGGTAAAGTTATATTTTTGCTTTCAAAATCAGGTATAATGTTTGGAGAAGTTGATCAGTTAGACAATGGAGTTGTGCCAACGGCGCAAAAATGCTCCGTATTGACTGCGATGGCATGAATCCGTAAGTGGTCGTACGTCAGTTAGAAGACTGTGGTGTTCACGCTGGAGCAAGTGCTCAAACCCAATGAGCGACATTTGCAGATCAAACACCTAAACTACCACACTACGGATGGCCAGGTTAGGCAAGGCTTCGTCTATTAGGGCACCAGGGTACCCCAGGAGATAAGTGACCTATGTCGTATTGGTTTTAGGATATCAAAGCCAACAGGCAAAAGCTATCGGTGAAGGCGGCGGGGCATCGGCCTCCCAGCTAACATTCTTCAAAATCTGTGAGTTGAGGATAGATTCAATGAAGCCAACCATCTAATCAAAGACAGTATAGATGTAAGGCCTTTGCAGTAACGCCACAGTTAGGATTGCCCAATATGCCGGTCGCAAGTGGGCGAAGAATATGCGAGGGTCACCTGGACCATACGCAGGCCCCTATCAAATAACTTAACATTAAATACCCAACCACGATAGGCGGCGGCGTCCATGGAGCCTAGCAGATTAAAGACAAAAAGATCTAACATGCACGAGGATTCGAATTCAACAAGTAGCCCGGGACGCCTCTGAAGAGTAGAAACAGAAACAGGAACGAACGACCAATTCCGATAGTGAGGTCGAGTGCCATCGGAAATGTCTCCACATCGGATAACTTCCGGGTGATCTAACTGATAGATATGATTCAAATTGGACAGTGGTTTAAGCTGATATCGTGTATCAGAATCCAAACATATAGCGAGCGGCTCAATGTCGAAAGAGTGGAATCTTGGTCGCTTGCAGATGTATTATGCGAAGCACCGTAATTCGACGGCATAAGCATCACTTGGGAACCGCGAGGTCATAGACTATGCCTGTACATAGTTGACGTAGCTCGGCGAGCGTAATATCACGTACGAGCCATACCGGGATTATCCACACTACGTAAACCGTTTTCAACCAGGACTGCTCAAGTACATCTCGAACGCAAACGAGTAGTATGGAAAAGGTGAAGAGTTTATAGTTTCGCCACACCTAGACTAGGTCCTCTTACTATGCCTTCTTATTGGCATGCGATCCTGTCTATGGCGGCTAACCTGTCTTTCGCACGGAAATAGATGGTAGGGCACTTAAGAACTAATCGGTCTCCATGTCGCAACTTGTGGACTAGTCACACATGTGACCGCCGTCACATTTATGGAAGAATGAGTGAGGGTGAGCTGGGATTCCGCAAGGATGGAGGGTAATGCACACTACGAGCTGTGGCAATTCAGTAATCAGCCCGATAACCCGGTAACAACATGATTCAGCCAAGCTGTGACGAGATCACTTGAAACAGACTGGAATATGAGAAAGAACAGCGGATCAGGACGCTTTCACAAACATCTACAAGCAAACAAACCCGCGAGCAGAAGTCTTTTGATGGTTGGTCTTCATTGATGAGCCCATTGTTTGCACAAAGCTCTAAACACTAGCATGCTCACTGTGGTCACTAGGCGATGGAGCCCTCTTCGGTGATAAGATGGTTGGCGTTGAAGGATCGTCACACTGAAGAACCACTCCAATAGTTGAGAGCATGTCGCGTAGCATGACGCCGGATGGTGCAGTGGGACTTGGGCAGGGCATAGAATTTACTGCTCTTGGATCCGAGCGACCGGACGGGCGGATGGAGGTATCACTGGGAACGGGAGGTCGCGGAGGATCGGCCGAATTCGGTGGAACCATCTCAGCCTTTGTGTCCGACAAAGTCTTAGCATGTTCTTGGTCAGGTACAGCGACTGATGGCTTATTCGGTGGGATGGTAGGAATACTTCCGTAGACACAACGCAAAAGCGACCAAAATTGTACCAGCTAAAACAAGAGAAAAACGCACATTAAGTGAGGCAACGATGCTAAAAGTGTTGATTGTGTTGCACGAATATTCGAAAGTATTTGTGGTAAAGCACATGTCGGAATGCCAGAGGAAAACCGTTTGAAATGCTCAGTTGGACCACTGACATACAAAAAGTAACAACGCAGCAGTCTGGCTCCAAAATAAGTACCAATAAACCAATGTCACAACAAACCTTAAAATGCAACGTCCTCCGATTGATATGCTAAATGAAAAAGTTTTGTTCGGTTAATCAACACTGAGCTGCGCGCCAGAACGGAGCGCATTTGGAAGGCGTTGGTTCTAATAATAATTGGTAGTATGGTAATTAATAATAACAATGATAGAAAAAGTGGAGGAATGAGTAAGACAAGTAAAGAAGGTCGTGAGTAAAATGTAAGGAAAGATGCAGTAAAATAACCGGTGGAATAGTAAACTGTTAGAAGTAAGGGAGCGATAGTCCCGCACCATTGTCCACCTGATAACACTAATTACCATATGAGTGCAACCTGCTAACGTAGCTCGTCCGGAGACAAGAACAAGGAATCACAATGCTGCGTACAGATTCGGGGAAAACTGTCAACACCCCCCTGATTAACTAAAGATTGTCGCTATTGTAGGGGGAGATTGGCCTGTAAAACTCGCTTCACGTGGAAATCAAAGAGCTGCAAAAGAGAATACAAGTGATGATATTCTCCGGCCTGATCCGAGACCACACACAGGGTACCAGCGGTATGTGTGCCCACCCACGTTAGTTCGTGAGCGACGCTCGGAGTATCATAACTGTGCAACAAAAGCAGGGGATATATCAGCCAGCGATCCACTTATCAACGGTGTGCACAGACTTTTTGGATTCTATGGGAAACTGAACACAAGGGAGGTCACTAGGCGGGACGCAATAAATCGCGCTTGTCAGGCCAGTAGGCCGGGAAAGTTTATGTACATGAAGATGGATCAAAATTCCGTAAAGAGAAGATCAGTATTAGGAAGCTTAACCGTGTCAATTGATAACTGGTTAGCGAGCCCGGTTGGCTCTTTCGTGGATGTGTTAACAAGATTCTTTCTCGTTGGATTTCTCTATGTATTAAAATTACTTCGTGAAAGCAGCAATATCATTTAGTTTCACTTCTGAATTTTTAGTGTTTTTGACTATAAATGTTCAAGTTATCTCAGTTTAATTTCAGTGATCATATTGCTGTTTTGTGCTCCACATCTGGTCGCTATCTTAATCTCCGATTATTCGTAATGCCAAAATAAACACTTTACATTGCGTATTCCAAGTTTGTACGACGTTGGGTAGAGGCACTCATGTGTTGGTCACGTCAATTTCCACACTGAGCGCTTTCGATGTCTTTATGAAATCAAACGATTTCGTTCAAATTTCGTGTGATTGCCGAAACAAAGTATAGCCGGAAAAAAACACAAGCCGCTGTGTAGGCTGTATCATTCCGTTGCTAGCAAGTTCGTGTGCATGGCTTAACAAGCCAGCTCGAACCGCCTCAGGTTTCAGATACGTTTTCCTGCTCATCCTGTGCACTCACCTGTACAAAGTCTCGCCGCTGCGGGCAGCCCATTTACGCCTAACACGAATCTTTAACCTGTGTTGTGTCCTACGGGTACAAGTATCCCAGTGTGTGAAAGCCTGTGTATTGAAGACCCGAGGAAATTACAAGGAAAGAAAAAGCAGTATGAAGACTTCAATCCCTACAAACTAACGACAAGCCAGACCACGAGAAGCTCGGAAAAGTCTTCGCCGTCGTCGACTAGAGGCGATTTAACCTCCTAATCTTCTACGCACCTTAGACCAGTGGTCTAACTCATCACATGTGCTAGGATCACGACGTCACTCTTTTCGGAGCCTTTATGACTCCCTGACATAAGTGCGGCCGGGTTGAAAGTAAGGCAAATTACCTGTCTTGGAAAAATAATCAACAAGGTTGGCCAATGAGAATCACCTTTGTGGACGAAGGCAGTCTAAGGCTGATCCTGTCTCGCTTAAATTGGTCGAAAGGCTTGAATATCTATGTTCGTTCACGCCTGAGTCCAGTGGACCGAGAACAGCTCAAGTCTGCCATCAATGAGCTGAAAATACGAAATGGTGATGAGTAAACAAACCTCCGTATGGTAAAGTTTCGAGTCATTTCCAAAATTCCACGAAGTAGGATAAACAGGTTGCTCACATTTTAAGCACGCCCGGTGGTTCCTACTGCGACCTACGTGTAGATTTCACCAACGTTTACTGTCTTATGAAGAAGCGCAGTGAACTCTGTAATTTCGTTGCACCTGAACAGTCAAACACGTAGTGGGACTCGTAGAGAGGCGGTTAAACGATTAGGTACTCACCTAGGACGTTGAGCTTAGTGGCTAGTCGTGTTTCCGCAGTGTTAGGCTATCGATTACCTACGGTTGCATCTTGCTCTACACCCGGTCTTCTTTGTTGGGAGACTTAGGAGCGTTCACCGTAGCGAAGGCGGCCTATGTGAGCCGTTGTAATAGGACCTAACTTTGGCACTTAAAGCTGCTGGTGGGTTTAGTTTATCACAGTCCCCGGAGACGCTGTTTTTATTGGCTGCTGCATCTCCGCAATCACATGAATCGCCTCCCTATTCAACTCATAAGTGACTTCAATTGTTCTCGAAAATGTTGACTTGAAGTTCAACTTATCACCGGGTATTATGATGTCGAAGCAAAGTGCGCTGAAATTGTATTTTAAACTGTGGCGGTAAACATAATAATAATAATAATGATAATAATAATAATAATAATAATAATAATAATAATAAACAGTGTCAGCTGTACGCCGTAACGGCGCTTCGCTGCCGCATGACCATCACCAGTCGCGCGTGAGTTGAGTATACCGCGAGGACGCCTGCCCCTACCCTGATTCTAACCGGTGACCTTATGATTGCAAGCCAGGCGTGCAGATCACCAGCCGACGACGGTACAACAGTGCCAACCGACGCGCATAACACCGTCGTGCCTCAAGTTAGGGTTAACAAGCTGTGAACATGTTCATGACACTCGATCCAGTAGGTCCTGGCAATGAGCGACCACTCAGTAGTCATAGCCAGCATGTAACTAACTTTGCCGCATTCAAGTCTGTTGAAAAACTGACTTCCACGGTATAACTCGAAACGCCAGCCAGGTGGATTTGTCTCTGTCGCAAGCTGCATTTGCTGAAGCTTGCTGGTCAGCTACAAAGAAGGGAGTAAACTCATTGGTAACCGATGTCTGCCTATTAAGTGTCAGAAAGTCGGACCAATCAAGCCACACTGGTTCAACAAGGAACATGGTAAAATGGCTCGGCTATGGGACAAATACTTCCTCTTTGTCTCGGTCCACGACTAAGAGGCGTACAAAAGGCAGCGGAATGTTTGCAACATTGCAAGAATCATCAAGCGCCAGCATTTTGAACAGCAGCTCGAAAACGCCACGAAGATCGCCCCGAAAAGAATCTTTGCTTACGTGTAGCGAAGTGTTAAGACGGCAGAGGATCTGTCAGTTCTAGAGGGCTCGAACGCACAGCCTCTAACCACTAGCACTGAGCGTGCGTCCGCGTAGACGACGCAGTTTGCTTCCCTATTTGCAAATTATCAGGTGCCTGCACCGAGTTCGACGTGAACTGCGATTGCCGAACTCGAGTCTGGTTTGCGGTGTTGAAGAGGTGCGTCAACTACTCACCAACCTTGATGACACCAAACCTGCTGGCCCAGACAGACTAAACCCATTGATTTTCAAGTCCCTATCGACCACCACCGAAACTGCCGTGACTGACTTGTTCAATAGAACACTATCCGATGGTTCACTGCCGAGTGACTGGAAATGTTTAGTGGCAAAGCCCATTCCGAAATGCAGTGACCCAGCAAAGTGGACAACTACAGGCCGAGTTACCAGAATATATTCTGGCCAAGATTACCGAGAGGATCGTGAAGAAGAGTCTACTCCAGCTGCTCTAATCAAAAGATCTAATGACCCCCGCACAGCACGGTTTTATGCTAGACCGCTCATGTATTACCAACCTACTGGTGACCAGCCATGAATGGTTGCAGGCAGTGAATCAGGGGAAGTCTGTCGATGTAATCTACATCGATTTCAGTAAAGAGTAGGTCAAAGTAAAGCATGCTGGCTTCCACAAGCTGAGAGTATCCGGTGTTGGTGCAGCATTGCATGAGTCGATCCAGGAGTTCCTCGGTGGGCGAAAGGATATAGGTTGATAGTCATCTAACTGAGTGGTATCCTTCTACTTATTAGTGGAGTAACACAAGGCACGGAACTGGGGTCCAATCTGTTCCTAATCCAAATCAGCGATCTAACTCAGGTTCTTTGGTCGTCGTGTGCCCTGTTTGCGGACGACCTGAAAAGTTGAAGAGTGATTAGAGACCCAGACGACTGCAGCCTAATGTAGCAAAACTTCAACCGCCTTTCCATATGTCTGCGGAAGCTTGCCTCCCAGTCAACCCAACCAGGTCGGTATTCATGAGTCTGGGGAAGGGTGGTGATGACCGAATTTACACCACTGACGGCCAATCGTTACATCCCACACCTTCCGTGAAGGACCTAGATGTACTATCGCGCTGGGAATTGAATCCCGTTGAGAACACGAACAGACCATTTTGTAACGGACTGCGTATCTTTGGGCGATCAAACGTAGCTTCTGCTCTTGGTCTGAGGAGGTCACCACTCGCCGCTTCTCATAAATAAACAAATAACTCACATATTCTTGTTTCCAGCAAGACAGTTTCCAGAAAGTGTCGTGTTGCCCTAGGAGAATCAGGAAGACAGTCTGCGCAACGATCACAAATCATTAATGAGAAAACTTGTGGTTATTTATAGAGTACATGGAATATTTCAATGTCGTACATTCGCTGGCTGGTCCTCGTTAACTGGACTGTAACGTTAGCTACATCACATTGGTTCGTGCCCGTTCTTTATACGAGCTGATCCACGTTTACAGAGCTCAGGGTTACATTGGGCCTCGCTGTTACTATCACGGATAGACAGCATGGTGGCGTCTGCTCGTCCGTTCGCTCATTTAAGCGATGATACCACTTGTTGACTAGCTGACACAACTGCCTGTGTTGTTACCATAGTCTCAGGCGTAAGCCATTCACTCGTCTTACGACCGACCAGTCCACTGTTCCGCTTTCCGACGGCGTGTTGTTTCTCCATTACACTGAGCCGGATTCGTTCCGCTTGATCAGTTCACACGAACAGCGTCTGAGTTTTCACCCGTCTACCTAGCTGATGCCTTCGCGTTAGACGACCATCTGTCACAGCTGGGCGCATTGCTACCATGGTCTCAGGCGAATTCCATCTACTCGCAGTACGGCAGATAAATCCGTTTTTCCGTTTTCCGAAGGCGTGCCGCTTCTTCATTTCGCTGGACCAGACCGGCCGTGCGTGCTCGGTATTCGTCTGATTGGTCCCCAGTCCATCGATAATGCATTGATTCCATCCGCCCCCGGTCTCAGCGCGCATCGCAATGAGATCAGTATTGAAGTACGGCTCACTGCTTAATGCCCCATCACCCAAGGTAGGGAAGATCGAAGGAGTTCCAAACGTCGCTACCAGACTTATTCCAAGTTTACGAGAATTATCGTACGAAGACCGGTGCGAGAGACTAGGACTACATTGTGTCCGACCGTCGGGTGCGAGTCGAACTCATCACCTACCGTATAACACATCTTAGTGACTTACGCATGTTGAGGCCCGTGTTTCACATGCAAAGGCCAAGCAGCACACGCGGACACTGGTGTCAGAGAGTGGTAAATATTTGGAACAGTCTGACAGAACATGACATGGAGTCCAAATCCGGGCGGTAGTTCAAAATGTTGTTGAATTTAAATTTCATCACCATTCGATTCGGCAAACGATTTCACACTGATAATGACATCTCACGTTTGTGAACCTAGTGATCCTGTAAGTCAGATATTTTTAATGCTACACAAGAAACTGAAGAACGATTAGAGTATTAGCAGGTGGCAGATACATTTTTATAACAATAGTGCTCAGATTTAAATTTTGACCTCCTTTCGCAATACATTATTCAGTAGTAATCTTAACACAAAGCCCAACCAAAACTTTAGCCATTGACGCTTGGCACCAAGCACAGAATGAGGCTGATCGTGGAGATGGTTGCAAGTGAAATCAGAAGGACGTCCGAAAAAGAGAATTTTTCAGACAATGTGGTTCATCGCACATACCATCCATGTGAGAGCAATAAGGACGCAAGCGACGATTTGGTTGCTGTGTGCTGTTCACTACACGGGGGAGAAGCAATTGAGATAAATCGGACACCTAACAAACGGCAGATGTCTCAGTGTCAACTGCTAACTGGGACACGGAGATCAGTTGACAGAAGCAAAAGATTAGGGTACTTACGAACGCTTGTCCAAAGCGTAATGCAACCGCGGCGTTGTGGCTACAAACGCGATCCACATTTGGGCCGACGAATTGGTAATGTTTGGCCAACGCGATGATAAGATCGGACAACAAGACTGTATTGGACGCCATACCGCCTACAAATCGAAATGCCTAAGTAGACAAAAAGGAAGAGGAGAAAAGTAAACTTCCGTGAGCATTGCATAACAGATAGTAGGAAGCATTTTCATTCTTAGACGGGAGTGGGGTGTCGCGTTTATGGAATATAAAAACCGATTATATGGATACAGAGTGAAATATGTCACGCGGTGAAGGCCAGGTTGGATCAATAACCGGGCCTAGACGGCACGTGAAATCGGCCGCGGAAAAGTAGTCGCTTGGAAACTAAACCAGGTGAAGATGCACAATGAAAAATCGTGACATATGCAACGTTGAAAGGGCACAGACCGTGGTACAGTGCGATCATCTCAAAAGCTTTACACATGATATTTGGTCGCATGATTGTGTGCAAGAGTCGGAAATTCTGTCCAATAATTTAATGAATCCCGGGTGAAGCACCAGAGGAAGATTCCCCGTCGTCGACAGACGTCGTTTGACTAATCAGTTAAAGAAGAAGAGGAATCAACAGCAGTATGCCGGTGCACTGTACTGACGCTTTGCTGCCATCAATAACCGCACGTAGGCTGAGTATGCCTAGATATCGCATTAACGCGGATCAGCACTGGGTGCCCCAGCATTACAAAACAAATGCGTAATCCATTCTGCCACCGAGCGTCAGTTGGGAAAACATTAAGTTATTTAGAGCCACAACAATAAATTTGAGACGAGGAGAGAGAAAGATAAAAGGTCTCTAAACCGAAGACAGTTTCGGATGGATAGTTGCATTAGTTTTAAAAAGTGGCCGGTCAAAAACTCCATTCGATGGCCTTACCGAATTCAGGCGATGCATCCACCGTAGCGTTTCACTCTGGGCCATGCGGTTCTTGTAGATTTAATAAAGCACAGTAACTAACAACTGGTGACACTATTTTGATGGCACGAGGCAACGGCGAAAGACTGTTGCTGATGCATGCGAATCATCCATGCCGAAAATGAAATACCGGAGTAGCGGACAGTAGTTAGCAAATAGTTTGGAAGGTTCAATGAAATCGACATGCCTACAACCCAGTCGACCGTCTCCTCTCAGTTGTCGACAGTTGCGCATACCAACGGGACTAAAATGGGTAGAGGCGCTGTCTCAAAACAAAGCTGCAACTCATAAAGTGTGAATCAGTTCGCAGCTTGTGCCACTGTGCCACGACCGACGGCAACAGTGCACGTGGCTAGTTTGCCAATAGTAGGATGACACATCTCATCCTCACTATCATGCATGCCGCTGTAATACAGTGGACAAGGTGAAGCTTTGAAGATGTCATTTCACTCTGGAGGCCCCCAAATATATCGTGGAATGATAAACTACCCGGGCGGTCATCGAGGTTAACTGCATAGTGTTGTAAGTGCTTCAAACAGATTCACCATAGCAGCAACAAGCCAAGCAGACATTCAAGTTCAAGAAAAAACGCTAGACAGTCGTCTCGCTCAATGAAATTCGTCCGTGGTGCAAGTTTAACTCATCCTTTCGCATTTAAACCAAGGGTTGTCGAAGTTAAACGCAGTCTGATAACAAAGAAGCTCCAAGAAATGCCCCAAGAAATGCGTTAAACAGTCGGTTCTCGTACTCATAACTCGCCAACAGTATATGCGCCGTTCACTTTATGGGGAATCGAACCATTGTCTGTTCGCTTGTAAGATGTGTCAAAGTTACCCGACAGTATGCTTATAGAAGTGTAGCGTGCAACCCAAAGAATGTGAATTCGCGGAGTAAATTTTTGACGTAGCCGAATAGCGGTGAATCCCGAAAAAAGGAGGAATAACTGCTTCACCTAAATCGCTTCCAAGTGTAAGATGGAAGAAGCATACGATCCTGTCATTTTACGTTGTCTCGAGCTTTCACCTAGCAGCGCCGAGTCACACAATCTCCGGAAGGATCGCTAGGAAATGCCTACAGCAAGATGGAAGAAACTCGGCTGCTCCGATGAGGCACCAATGCAATTGTTAATGGGGGCTGTTCATAGAATCATCACTCCCCATTGCATAGTAGTAACTTCACTAAAACTCTAGATTAACAGCGCATGAAGTCGGTTAACCAGAAGCCAACCAATAAGCACTGTGATATACAGGATTAACAAATGAGATTACGTAATCCCCGGAGTCAACCGATGATACCGGGCCCAATCAGCATCTAGTGTCAATAGAATTAGAGAAATCACTAACGTAAACATGGTATCTCTTCTTGACCATATAAAACCTGTTGATAAAAGCCTCGTCTTCTAAATGGATTTTGGACGGGCCGAAATCCCCAACGTGTACGTCGTCTGCAGGTACAAAGAGAATTCAGATAAGGAACCAATTGTTAGTTAATTTCCTAAGTGAAGGCTGGATATAAAAAATTGGCTCCTACTCAAAAATATGTAATGTGGGAGAAGCCGTATCCGATCGACTGCATATATGTACAAAGAGTACGAAGGTCAAACCAATGGAGAGATAGTTAAGAACAAAATCCACTAGCGCGACATCAATCACAAGGGAGAGCTCTGGCGCGAATCAAAGGAAAGTGAAGGAATCATTCGTCGGACAGTTAGCATTACCACCAATAAGGGATGGAAAACTAGTAGGAACTCACTGGTATGTCATGTTTAAAACACAACACATCAGTGATTGGTTTGGGCACGCAGTAGGCTCCGATGGCTGGGACATGTGTTGCGCATGTCAGCCCACCTAATTCTGCAAGGTGCGTTATTTGCACGCCGGGGGTCTTGATGGAAGAAGAGGAGGGGTGGTCAAGCGATGATTTGATTAAGAGGAATGAAGCCCCTCCGTTCGAACTTAGTGTCAGTTGGTACATCCCGACTACCGAGCTGGGGTCCGAAGGATGATGAACACGTCTGGTTGGATACGGTAGTTGACATGGCAACGAGCCAACCTCAATGGCGTTTGCGTTGTGAGTTTCTTCGTCCCTACCCATCTAGCTTATCTTCCCTCTCCAACCACGATCTCCTTGAATCGTAATCTGTTACTCAGCAGTGCGTCGCTTATTTTTAACATTCTATACTATTTGGTATATTGCGCTTTCTTATACCTTATCCGCATGATGGCGAGACAATAGTTGAGTTGTGTGTCTCACCTTCAGCTAATGTGGAATGATGATGATGATGGTTGGTTGGTTGGTTTGGGTATGGATTGAAAAAGGGACATGCACTTACCATATTACTAATATCGTATACAGTAATTGCAACGTTGACAGGATATCATTAGATTTATTGGATTGTGCAAGAATACAAAATGCGGAGCTGTCACAAAACTCGGATTCGGAGTAGAGAAGGTTTATCAGTGAGGTAAAAAACACGCTGAACACTGTTATGAATTATGGGCAATAAACGCAGAAGACGTACTTCCAGTGACGGCTCAAAGCAAAAGAGTAAACTTTGTGCCTGGGAGACAAACAGGTCGGCAGACTGAGCGGAACCCATAGGCGGCAAATTGATCGGTGAGGAATTGTACCAATCTAGTTTGCCGCATGATGGAGCGGCATAAAAGCCGGGTGGACCATCACTTTGGCCCATAGACGAAGCGCTGCTGGTGTCCAAGGTGCCGTTTGTGCCTCGAAAGCCGGGAAAGACTGAAACCGAATGAGTGAAGTGATGAGATAGGACTAAAAGGGTACAAAGAGACATACGGAAAGATGGCTCACAAGCTAAACGGAACGCAAACTGTGCGGAAATTCAGTCAAAGCTGAAGCGGTTTAATGAGATTAGCGTCAACCAGTTGAAACATTGCGCTGGTGAATGATGCCTTAAAAAGTATACGGTGTCAGAAAGCAACTCACAAGGGGACTGTGTGACTAGATTCGTTTCGTCCACATACGGGGCAGGCTGATTTGCCAGGAAACGGTCTCGACTCACGGCATGAGCCAGCTGACCACGAGGGCTAAAACACAGGGCAACTGGAGGCGCGCTCTCAGCCGGTCGCAACCCGTCGGCAACACAATGTCGTATCAAAAGCCCATCCCGTCCGGCGGTATAAAAATAGTCGGCTTCCCCAGCATTCCATGCAATCGCTGAGATGTGAAATAAGGGAGGGCAGATAATCACATGTGGGTCAACAACAGCGTTCAGGATAGCAAAACGCAGAAAACTACCGCGAGTGGAGTCCAGTGGAAGGATATCTTTTGTGAGAAAGAATATACAATTCGATTTGAAAAGATCGTTACAAGATGTGCAAAAGTTCAACATCAAAAAAGCTTAACGACGAATCGATTAGTTATAATCTGTCGATAGCATCCGCTGTGTGACCCAACCTAAGTTTGGTCAAACCGAGTACGCTTTGCATTGCGGATGTGGAACATGAACGACAGACCACTGCAAGGTAAAAACGCAATGGAATACGAAAGTACGGATAAAAAGAAAGTGAACACAAGCGTGAACATGAAAGGAAAGTGTTTCCTACAATCATGTAGTGGTTAGATTAGGGAACTAGTCAATTCGAAAGCGGTAGGATTGGACGATGATCAAGGGTCAGTCCATTTGCGCCTATGGTATTAATGACAATCTCTCTGTAGAAGACTTGCGTTTTCGAAAAGTATCAAGGGAATATCATGCGTGTGTGTGTGCACTCATGGGGAGATGAAAGGTAGAGTGCTGAAAATGATAAAATCGCTCGTATCTACTGGGACAGCAGGAATGTAAGGGGGGATTCGTGCACATTATCAACCCGTGGTTAAAACTAATTACGTTACACAATTTGTTGGAAAGATAGAGTCTATAAAACAGAACATACCAGTTAACGTAACAGTTAATAGCAGCTAACAAACTTTGATAACAGCGATCACAGACGGCGAAGCAGCGAAGCGCAAATACACGAGTGGTCAAAGGCTGTGAGAGTATATCGCCCCGTCGAGCAAGTGAAATAGGTGTGAGTTGCATAACGTGAACCACCTTTCAATACATATAGGTAGAAACGTTCCCACTCTGGCTGATAAAATGCGGCATAACCTAGACCAATCCAAGTTTTTAACTGCATCTAATCGACAAGATGCAGTGAATGAACTGAGCTTCGCGTTGCATTTTGAGCCGTATTAGCAAATTGATGCAAGGGTTAAGATCCATGAGCTAGGGATGCGGTAATAGCGATATCGCATCAAGCCTGGAGTTCAAGGGATCGTAGACATCTTCCGAATCCACAGTACGTAGTTATCGTGCATACCCAAAGGGCAACAGATCCAATGTGAGGCCAAGCGCTGTCCTCTGCACAGCGCGTAACTAGCATGGCAGTGCAGGAGGAGCAGGGCTATATCGTAATCAGCTGTCAGTCATGCATGTCCGCGGCCGCCACCCATGGCTTAGTGGTACAAGCTGTTAGCATCCGGAAGTCATGGGGTCCGCAGAGGCAGAGGTCCGAGGAAGGAAACCACTGACGAGACTCAGAAGGTCGAAGCAGCGATGTTTGGTGCTTTACCAGACGGGTCGAAGCCTGCTGACTGAGAGGGGACTGCGACGAATTGCCTCCGAAATTATATCAAAAATCCCCAATAATTATTAGAGATCCAATGTTGTCTGCGTCATTCCGCAAATATGCTGCTCAATAGCACAGAAGTTTGAGTCTGATTCAGTAAAACAACAACTGGACAGAGTGACTTGTGCCCGAAACTCACAAGTGACTACACCTTTGTGGCCTTCGAATGCAGCGTACGGTAGGTAGGGACGCTTTAGGTCCCATAGGTAGGTGTTCAAATCAAATGTCTGATTGCAGCTGGACACAAGTTGCGTTAGCTGAAGACAGAAAAAAAAAACAGAAAGCAATAAATTATTAGCATTCCAATGTACGCGAAATCGAAGATGGACACGATGAATCGCGTGGAACTGTTGCCAAAGAATCAATAAAAAATACCCTACTGCATAAGTGAGAACAGAGTGAGGGAACGGTTTGTGCTTAATCAGGTACAAAAATTAGGAATGCCACGTGCTAAGGTCAAGACGTAGGTAGGGTAGGTCGGGGAATTTCCGTAAGCTATTCCTCCTGATCCGATGTACTGGCGGCAAAAGGCCGACTGGAAGCGAAGTTTTATGCGAAACCAATGGCGAGCCCATCAACCGTCAAAAACGCCGACTCGAGCGTTGGGCCGAGCATGTTAAGTATCAGTTGAATTGGCCAACAGCACCAATTAGTTCCCATTCTGGAGTCCAGAGCGTTCCCTGGTTTGTACACGCTTCACCACCATCCGAGGCTGAGGTTGCCCACGAGCTTCGCCTCTTAAAGCTCTACAAAGCCCCAGGCCGAGATGAACTCCCTCCGGCTCTTTGCAAAGATGGCGGCCCATCAGTTGTTTAGGAGTCAACTTCTCCAAGAGATCTGAGTCACTGAGGTTATCCCATCTGATTGGAATCTAGCGGATATCGTGCCCGTCTACAACAAGGGTACCCGAACTGACTGCGCCAACCAAAGAGGGATTAGTCTCATCTGTGTTGCTTCCAAGGTGCTCGCAGCTCTGCTCCTACGGAGGCTCAGCCTGGTATGCGAACAGAGCACATGTGAAGATCAAGCTGGGTTCCTTTCAGGTCGGAATTGCATCGAGTAAATCTTTACACTCCGCCAAATACTCGAGGGTCGTCAAACATTTGGCCAGCCAACGATCGTTGTCTTCTTAAACATACGTGCCGCGTGTGACTCAGTCGGCAGAGCTGCTCTCTGGAGTTGTCTACTGAGAAGGGAAGTGCCCGAGAAGTATGGCACCTTAGTTCAAGCCATCTACTCTCAAATCTCGGGCCCAGCGCGGTTGCACGGTGGACTTTCGCCCCCTTTGGTATCACCAGTGGCGTGAGACAGGGTTGCCCAGCATAACCCCTCTTGTTCATTTTCGCAATATAGACAGAAGCTTGGAGAGTGCTCTGGAGAACAGCGAATCCAGGGACGTCGAGCTGCTTCCGGGGGACCGACTTCGGGATTCGGATTGTGCAGACGACATTGCCGTAATCTGCGCTTCCTCACAGGCCGGCCAAAATGTTCTGTGTAGGCTGGAGATGTCAGCCTCCCAGTTTGAAATGACCTTCGCACTATCGAACTGCAAGGTTTTCCTGTAGGACTGGCTAGGTGCCGCTCCTAATCCAGATTAAAGTGGTGACACAATTCCAGCTACTTGGAATATATACATGCTTAAGCATAGGACAAAAGTCTTGGGAAATCTCCATCAAAAGTCAGTAAACCCCTTAATTCGCAAACACTGTTTTTTCCCGAAAAGCTTTCATTTGCAACTGAAGCACCTGCATACAGCGTAAACGCACAGAATAAACAATTTAATTTGCGGTTTGCATTACTGACATCAGGCAACACCTTTGTGGTGTGGGATGCACTTAAGGTTGTCTAATTGCGAAATTTTACTGGACAGAAACTTCACTCTAATACGGCGCTTCATAACTCCTGACCGGGCCAAAAGTCATGGTCACTAACATCCCACCGTCGAATACATTTTTAACGAGCAAAACGCAAAAGTGGAAAAGATGCGTTAGATATTTCTCCCTGTAATTTCATCTTCACTGAAGCTCTCCGGGTGGAGAGAAGCGCGTTATAAGAGGCAGAAAATCCTGGCTGATGCCTGCACAAACAGATAAACGAGCTACGCAAGCAAAGCCTAAATGCGTTCCAGCAAGGAAGCTCAATTTGACCGTGGTACGTATCGAAGTAAACATCGGTGTTTTACCACCTGTCAATTAAGGAACTGACCAAAGAAACACTAACCGTTGTGTGGCAGGGTGATTTTAATGTAAAGAGTCAATACGAATCCGATACGGATGGTGGAGTACAACGCTGAAAACGAACAACAATTGGCAAGTAGGCGGTCCAGCAGACATAGATCAAGTTGTGGGGAACAACTGTAGAATAAATCATAGTCCATAAACACATATAAGAAGCAGAGAAAACCAAAGCAATAACGAAATATTGACAGTAATTTTAGCTGAAGCAAAGGTTTGAGGTATTACAACCGCTGGGGCAGAAGAGTGAGGAGTAGCGAGATAAGAATAAGGTAAAACAGATAATCCCGAGACGCAGTCGAATAAGTCGATACGGGGTAGAAAAATTAATCACGCTAACTTATTGGTGATACACGCACAAGTGTCGGGATATTTTGCCCAGTTAACACACAAGGTGTAAATGCGGCGATAACTTCGTGTCACGTAATAGTAGTACCCAAAATGCATCCCCAGAGTGGATCGAACAACCCGTAGATCTCGATGTTTCCGGTAAATCTAAAGAAAACTGCACCAAATAAAATAGATTTGAATACAACAATGACTGCCGCCAGAGAGAAAAAGTACAATTACGACGTTGGAAGCGAGCCGGTCCGGGCTGGCTGCGGCAAATCTCACTTCAGAGATGCGAATCGCAAGACAAAGTAGGCATTAGTGAATCAAATTGTGTACGCAAAAGAGCTTGGTCTCATTCGGAAGACGTCAAAATCATGGCAACCAGAGTTGCAGTACAAGGGTATAAAAATTGAAAATGGCCCTCCCGCACCTCTGCTAAAGACACCGGAAGAAAACAGCGAGAGCCAACGATCATCCAGTACGCTACCCTGTGGGAGAGCCTACTGGTCACGGTCGGGTTTTGTGTAAAGGTAAACACATTTTGAATAAAAATTGTAAGTTCCCTCTACAAGAACTCGAAAATGTCCATGAATACATTAGAAACTCGCCAGATAAATTCTTACAAGATGAATTTAAAAGCGCATACTTGATGAGGAAAAAGTGTCAGGAAAAACTGAGTACTTCAGGATATTTTAGCAACACCATGTAAAATCATAAGCATAAGAGTAGCTAATATTCCATCCCCATTTATTCATCAGCAGTACAAGTCACCAAAAGGTGAAAAACCCATTTGCCACTGTGACACAACACAAAAAGATATGGAAATAGAAAGACATTAAACATAAGTGAATATAGAAGAAAAATAATGCTAAGTATCAAAGTATGCATGGAGTGTAAGATTGTCGTTGCGCGGTAGGGGGAGGTACAAACAAACTCCCAACACAAACGCCATTGAGGTCGGCTCGTAATCATGTCAGTTAGTGTATCTAAACAAACGTGTTCATCGTCTTACTAGCATACCAGCCATGCATTCGGGCGACACAAAGAGAAGCCAATTTTGAAGTGAAGGACTTGTGAGCATATCATCGGTTGGCCTCCCCTCCTTCCATCCAGACCCAGGGCGCGCAAACAACGCACGCTGCGTGAGTCGGTGTGCTGGCATGCGCAACATGTGGCCCAGCCATCGGAGCCTATTGTGTGACATAATGGTGCTGAGCGGTTCACTCGCTTTTCTTGAACCAAATATGCGACGCCGAACACGCTCACTTGCTCACATGGTGTTCCCACCAGATATGAGCTATGTTGCGAAGATAGCGATGGTCGAACATAACTAGCCTCTTTATGTAGGCTGATCTAATGGGTCAGGTTTCGCAAACGTACATGAGGGTTGAACGCACAGCTGCGTTGTAAACTCTGTCCTTTAGGGCACACGTGATGTCGCGCCGGCACCACAAGCAGCGGAGATCAGCAAAAGCACGAGCTTTTGCTGTACGGTTTGTGCTCTCATCTCCCATTGCACCGTCACCGATATAGCTGCCAAGGTACTTGAATACCTGGGCTACTTCTGGCTGATCCCCACCAAGAGTCAGCGCAGCGGTGAGTACCTGGTACTCGTGAAGGACTGCATGTCAAGGGAGCAAAGCATAGCCCGAAGCGACTAACAGTCAGAGATATTTCATTCCGTGCTGCTTGATGTGTTTGGGAGCTGTCACAAATGAGCATAATGTCGTCGGCATACTCCAAGACATGAATTCGGTCACCTGAGAACAGCTCCACACTATATAGGTCGTGCTTAGTAAACGCAGTCTCCATGACTCTAACGATGACGAATAAGAAAAGAAAGGGTGACAGCGAGCAACCTTGCCTCACACCGCTGGAGATATTGAAGAGCGGCAACAATAAGCCTTCACTTTGCTCAAACTACGTACATAAAGCGCCCTGACACTGTTTACGTGTCTCGGACACACCTCTACTGAGCCGACTGTTCCAAAGTTTACATAGATCCACTGAATCAAAAGCAGTTTGACGCTATGCGTCCCAAATAGCTGCTACGTTTGGTCTGTATTCGTTAAGCAACAGAAACAGTCCTTCGCACACCCGAGAAATATGCTTCTAACCTCGGTGTCAAGCGTTGCTCGCGGAGCTCAACCACTATGTGCCGTTGTACTCCCAAACAAGGAAGAAACGCGTCGTGGAGTGCACGAATGGGAGACAGCAACGCCGAAATTCTTCACTTATGATTATTAGTAAAACAATAACACAAACAAAAATGTCCAGCAAGAAAGAATATGGCGACTGTCGCACCAACAAGTCAAGAGGATACAGAAGAGCACCCAATGAATTAGAATCCAGAGCTGATTAACGATATTCGCCCTGTCCGGAAAATGTAGTATACCAGATGGTGCTGAGACAAACTGTGAGTCTGTACGTGTAGTAGGTAAAAGCGAGTGTCTTGTGGTAAGTTTAGACAGAAAACCAACGAAGATTGGAGCAAAAGGCAGCACAATGTAACTGACTCTCCCTGTTTTTCTAGAATCACCCCGTGTGCTGCGTCATAAGGAAAGAAAGTCACTCAAGTGATTCGGTGACATGTACGGACCAGAGGTTCATATGCCGGACTGCACCGGTCTGTCAACTGGTGATAAGTAGTATAATCCTCAGGACATTAGCAGCTAGAGCAGTTCACATAATGGGTTACATGGAAAGTTCACGAAAGAGCAATTGACTGTGAAGAGAAAACCTAGGCGAACGAAGAGCGTAGTTACTGACTGCTCTACTTTCTGATGGTATTCAAGTTCCGCTGATGATAGATAATCTGACCGACTCAGTAATAGCAAAGGTAGCAAAGGATAGGGGGGAGAAAATGCGAGTTAAAAGAAAAGAAAAGAGTTCATCTAAATCTGTCTGAGTAACAATCACCATCATTATACATGTTAGCTAGAGGTAGAAAATACCTCATTGATGCAACACAGGACGACATGCTAGAGCAAGGCCAGATAAAACAATACGGTGGATTAGTCTTGTGTTGTAACCAACACGCTGGTCTACCAAGTGCACTGTGTTAAGCCAAGCAGTACAAGGTAAGGTGTTTCGTGAACACCACGCAATCCAAACATAGCGCCTTCCTTGACATTAGTTGCCTGCACGATTAAAGTGACAGGGAACCGATCGATTCGTTCCTTTCGCTTCAAAGTCACTCGGTGAAAACCTCTCGCCTCTTCCATATTCGCGCCACTGGTCGCAGTGGATTTCCTATACGTTCAACAAACTTAAGGCAGCAAAGCGTCAACATAAGAACAAAACGAAGACGACAAAAATTAGACAAATGTTAGTGTAATTAGTCATTATATTTATGAATAACAGGGAAAATATGGAGGAAGCACTGAAAGGCCAGTTCGTCTCCTCAGGAATCCCCGGACACCTACGTTTCGCGGACTCAGGACGAAGTCGAAAGGAAGTAAATGATTTTAGCATAAGAAAATGACACTCTCAGAATGAGTGGATATTAGCAGTTGTAGTGAAGAAGTGTGCGAGTGTGAGACAACTCTATTTGGTGCTACACACTCAAGTCCGATAGCACAGTGACGGGGACAGTGGCTTCATATGACAAGCCACTCAGGCACTCATGATCCAATCACTAAGAAATATGAAATAAATAGCGCCTATGACAACTAGACCCACGAACAGCAATAAGGCACTGGACAATCATTTCGGGACTCACCGAAATCTGATATACGTATTTCGGAGATTTCAGATCCAGAAGTCCTGGATATACAGTTTACCCTATCCTCATACATGAAGAGAATGGTAAAAGCAGCGAAAATTGTTCGTTTCCTGTGGACTAGTAGACATAACCACTCGTACTCGAGTTGAATGGCGGGTTTTCTCTTTACACTGGTCAGACGGAGTAGGTACTACGGGCAAAACTCGAATGAGGAAACGGCGGTTCCGTATCTTCGAAATTTAGTAAGTCTACCTGACTGAGTGGACTTGCGATGAAGTTGCCTTACCAGGATTAAATGCCATACGATTCCCTTGTGATAATACACAGTACAAACTACTTTCGATACTATGAGATGGTTAACGGTTGACTATCAAGACTATAGTGAACTCTGAACCGCAGTAGCGTGCAAGCGAGTGGATGGAGAGCTCCGTTACAGAACATCCAGCAACATGATACTTACAGATGTTGACGTCTACGATGGCCGTCAGTTAAAACAAACTAAAATAACGACTGAAAAAGGAAGTGACAAAAAGCATAAAAAGTGTGAAATCTAGGAACACTAGAGAATGATGCCTAACCCAGTTTGATCAGCGGTTGCCGCCTCAGCGCCTCCGCAACCAATAGCGAGAAGACAAGCAGGGCATAGTTAGTGCACCAACGACGTAAGGGTCATCGACCCCAGTTTCGCACACACAACACATGTCGATACCCAGGGTGTCCAACGTGCGTATGAGTGCACCCAGTTGGCCAACTTACCTAAGAGTGCAAACGGTGAACGCAGCAAAGGAAATGGGACAATATCGCTTTATTAGGGGCTGCTGTCGAGAGAAATTCGGTGGATGATGCGGGAACACAGTTAAAGATGGTAGAACTCCAGTGGTACTGTCCAATTTGTCAACTGAGATAGGTAGGTTAGTAAGGGGTGTCAATAGAGGAGTAAGACAAACAGATAAAAAAGGAAACTAGAGAGGCGCCAGCAGTAGCATGTTTTTACTTATCCATCCTGTTTCATATAGCAGATAAGACTACTCTTGATAAACTGCGCGACGGACAATGCAGGATCTGGTTGGAGGTTAAGGAAGTGGTCATGGTTGTACATGGACTAAGCTACAGCCGGGGCGACCAGATCGAGACAGGAGGACGATTTAGCCCTAGTACGAAACGTCAGTGTGGAGTTGGCAACGGTACGGTGTTGCCAAAATCGACACCACACAAATTCCCAACCCCCTAAACTAGAGGGTCGGGAGACTGAGTTTGCCTGATCTCCAACGACTGACCTACTATGCAAAAGTAGATCTCAATAGGATTGAGGACAACACCCAGTAAAGCTCAATGGATCGAAGAGGTACATAAACCATTGCACTATGTGAAGGTCCAGTCCCGTCAAAAAAGCATGTTCGGTGACGAGTGTTGTCAAGGTGGAAGTGGTCATGTGAATAGCTTAAATTAATGTAACTCACAGAACCAGGACGCCAACGGATCCGGGTGACATTGCTTGTTCGTACAGTGTACACGACTGAAGGGCATCCTGACTGTCCGGAGGTGGTCTGATCGAAGTTCCACACTTTGATCAGATGGTCTGCAACTCCTGCAGTGGCGAGCCAATTGCGACTGGGTTGGAAGGGAAAACAGAAACGGATATGTGACCGTCAAGATCCGGAGAAAACTTGAAGACCGGATGTAATTTTGAAAACACATCCGGTTGTAGGAGAGGAAACGAAGGCGTTTAATATACTACAACACAAGTAGTCAACCTCGAATTTATCCCTCATCATTTCGATATACGTATGTATATCGTTGGTAGGTACGCTGTATGCGCTTCCATTTGATTTACTAACCGCGTGCTGAGTCTCATTATTTCAGGTGATTGGCTTGCTACATTGTCTTAATGCTTATTTTGTTGTTTTAATGTATACCTGAATAATCTTCTATTAACTTGCACACGTCATTTAAGCTGATTCTGGTTAACTTCGTTAAGGTTTCGTATTTGTGGTATTTTTCAAAGATATCTTTTTCTGACATACTGAAGTTATCGCGGAATTCGTGATAACAATACGTTTTATTCAATACATATAATTTGACACTGACATTTCAAGTGATTGGCTGTCGTTAGACATTCCCGGTGTGGCTGCGCTTGTTGTGCGTGTTGACAAGGTGCCTACCAATATATTACCCACTGCCTTGTCCATACTGGCTCTAGGAGACAGTTTGTCGTTGCTGGAGAGGACGGGGTGTACGGAACTCGTGGCCGCGTTAGGCTCGAAGTCATTCAGTGTGGAGCAGACTACGGTCAAGCCACTGCCTTGTGTAAGCTTGAGTCCCCAAATATAGCGTGCTTAAGTTTGCCTGTGAAGGAGTGTAGTCCGGCTGCATTGGTGAAACGTGACTCTTAATCGTTCGGGTTTACAATGGGGTATGCAGATGGAGCTGTAGGTAGTACAGCGCAAGCCACCCATGGTCCATCTGTAGGCGCAGGCATCCTGCGGTTTTTCCCGTGGAGACCGCGGCGACAGGCAAATTGGGAATCGGATGCCGCCGACAATATATATATATATATATATATATATGCGCGTGGGTGTATGTGATTACATGTTTGGTACAGAACCAATCGGATTTTATTTACCAACATACTGGAGATGTACCCAAAAGGTTCCTATACCAACGCGCAGTACACTCAAGCAAATGCATCATATACACGGGGAATCAATAACGAAGCGTGGAAATGATGTAGCGCCAGTGTACATTGCCCGTTGATCACACAATCAGGATGAGCTAGTGACATCATCCGTACCAACAAGAGACAAAAACAGCGTAAACAGTGGACGTGTAAAATTTAGTGACCATCAAACTGCAGTAATATGTCAGAGGGATAAGGTATCAACAGTGACATACTGACCCGGTACCCTGCCAAATGGGATGCCAATCAAGTGAGGCCACACAGCACGAGTGTCCTTGAAATGCCCAGTACGGTCTACCTTGTTGCCGCGTATCCCAGAGAGAAATAGTGCCATTCTCCAAGCCAGCAGCAATTAGAAAACTGTGTCGAGGACTATAGGTAACATCGCGAACGGGAGAAGGCAATGCGGTGCGCTGAATGAATGTCCGTGCGTTGCTGTCTGGATTAGGCTCTCGGGTATCCTGAGGAGAATCATATAACGGTAGCATTGGAAGATTGTCAGAAAAAGTTAGTATGGACAGATGACTGTCTTAAAGCAATGAGTGGTCTTTGCTTTACAGTCACCTCCAGACCGATTAACGAAGGTCAGGATAAAAGTGTGAAAGAATTGAAATGGTGAAACGAAGCGAAGCGTGCGGTGTTTGATGGGTAATCGACAGTTGGCAAATGAAATTCTTCGCATGGCGATGGAATTAGGTGGACAATATAACAGCACAAGCACCGCCGTCGTCGGTGCAACAGCGACCCCCATTAAGCAGTCCAGTAAACATTTAGATCGTCACCTGGAGCATGGCCCATTCGGCCGTTCGTACAGTGATCCAGGCGTTTTGCTTGTGAGCCACAGGTTATCAGTTCGACCCTGCGTAAGAGCAAACGACCCCTTCGCTCACACGCGACTGATAATTGTCGTACGCTAGCGGAGCGTCGGTGTGTACGGGCGTACTGCCGATGCTTTTATGAGTTTCGTAACAAGCAAACCAAAGGATTGAACTCAGAAATACTAGAGATGAGGGGGATGTGAACCATGCGGTACAGGCGGACACTGCGTTTAGGAACCGCTTTGTAACATACCGGTATGCACGGATGTGATAATGGAACCAAAATCATAAACAGCTGCGTTGCACGAGTCAGGTAAAGATGGGTATTGTAAACCGAATTGTTATCAGTAGATTGGTAACATCCTCCACTAATTAATGCTTCGATGCCATGGAAGTGAGCACAGCGAAAACGTCCTTATCAGAATGAAGAGTTGGGAAGAGCTGGTTGAAAGTGTGAAAAGTCGTTCCGGGTGAAGTGATCGCAACGATGTCACCAACAAGTGATTTTGCGTACACTTGTGAAAAAGTCCCCTCTTGGATCGTATTACTTCCAGTATAAACAACCTTTCCCCGCAGAGTGCTCATCCAACCAATGCGAAAAATAAGCAACGATGTGGAGGTAGCTGACGGAATGAAAAGGCTAAGTGGCTAAAGAATCAGTGTAAATATAACCAATCAGACTTCCCTAGTATGTTCGCCAATAATTCAAACAGCTGATTACGATCGCGCGGGACTGATTCACTGACATGCGATTGTTGAGAGTTCCAATCAACAAGGCAAAGGTACGTCTAAAGCAACAAGGTAAATGATAGAACTATACGACAGAAGAAGCCCAGCAGCATAGCAAAATGACATTTGACGCGTGAATGGAAAACTGACAAATAGGATAATCAAAGATAGACGGCAACGGTGGCGAAGCACCGCAATATGATCTACGCTGGTAACGGCATGTCATCTTGTGCTTCCTAGATCTGGCTGCGACTTGACGTTTGTTTTGCCTTGGGTGGCAAAACGACAGAAGCAAATGAACCAAAGTATCGGAGTTTCAATCTGGGAGATAGGTGCATTCAGGAACTTAGGAGCTAGTGAAATGTCAACTTCTCACTATGACATCAAAGGCTGAGAATCGTGAGTCTTACCACAGATTGTCCCGGATGGTGACACTAAATACCAAACAAGATACGAATGTGCGCAGATATCAAGTGGAACGACCAGCGTTAAATTAAATCTGTCGGTTTAGCAATACATAAGGCAAGAAGGCACGCGGTTATTGATGTTTTAGAAAAGATCAACTATATTAGGAAAAGCCAAGAAACAGTGAATCTAGTGAGATGATGAGAGGAAAATGGACTCACAAACAACTTTACTTTGCCATCCTGCGAAGCAGTGACAAGCTCCCATGGATTAGTTGGATGAAAAGTGACACAGTGTATTGACCTTGAGTGCCCGGAAAAACATTGCTCTGACGAACAGAGTAGAGTGAGAAAGGATGGGTGAGGTCATTGAACTCCATTGTAATGAGTGCATAGTTTGCCGGAAGATTACTGGTAGAGCTAGTAAAGCACGCGGTATACGTTGGGACAACATAGAACATAAAAGAAGGCAAGAGGACTAAAAGAAGAGCAGATTAGTGTGCGGAACGCTTACGTTGTGTTAGATTGTAATCGACATTCCACAAAGTGATGATACCATTGGTTGATCCCGAGGCCAAAACGGCTAAAGAGGAAAAAGTGGCACTTGTGAAGACACGTGTGTAAAGTCTCCGGTCTGAAGTGCAATTTATGGTCGACAAGCGGGCAATGGTCGAATGGAATGACCGCAATCAGCAAATGATTTGAGCCTAAAGCCTTCACACTGCTACTCAACGTCAACAACAATACACGTTATCTGAAGGTGAGAAACACACCTCAGCTAATGTACCGTTATTCAGCATAAACAATATTGTACACATTAGTTGGAGGTTAGAAATATTTCAGGTATTGTGTCGCATTATACTCGAGAAATGAAAAAAGCAATAAATATTAAAAAGTGAAAGATTAGAAAGTTTTATGGTGCTTCTGTTATTATGCATTGACAGTGAGATCGTGGTTCAGAGACGCAAAGCGGACTAGGGACGGACAAAGGAACACAACACAAGCATCTCAACAAGTTTATCGAGCCAAACGCGAGCATTAAGTCGCGACGACGACAAGTGGAAAACAATCGCTTTACTAACATAATTTTCTATTCTATCATCATAATCATTATACACATTAGCCGGAGGCAGAAAATACCTCAGCTACTGTGCCGCAGGCGCTGATACAGCTACCTAGAAAGATAACTTTCTGAACGACTCCTAATTTACCGTCACCTACCTTCAGTGAGGCAGGTGGTCCCTGCCAATCTTGGAGGAAAGCTTTGTACTTTGAGGATGCAAAGCAAAGCTCAAAACGGTTGACAACCAGTGTCAAATGGCTAAGTGCTGCTTCGCACGTTGTGAACTGGCACAGATTACAGCAGTATCACCGGTACACTCCAAGTCAAGAAGTTGATCACCTGAGAGTAGTTATACACCTAAATCATGTCCAGCAAACGCTGTGTCCATATATTCGTCAATGACGAAGTCAAAAAGGAAAGGTGACAGAAGACAACCTTCTCACAACGCTGGAGATATTGTAAAACGGAAACAATTTTCCATAAGCCCTTACTCTCCCAAACTGCGCGTATTAAGAGCTCAGACAATGTTTACGTGTTTATCGGGCACACCTTTTCAGAGGAGACAGTTCCAAAATGCACACCAATTCACAGAAAAGATGGAATCTTTGATCTCGAGGAACATGACAACGGTTAACCGCCAATATATGTGACGGTGCTCCAACTATTGACGTAAAGTGAGGATGTGGTCAATGCAGCCTCCATTTCGACGAAACCCGGTCTGCACTGCACGAATCTGACTTCCGCGGGCGCTTGTCAGTCTGTGAAGAACGACCGAAGCCAGTAGCTTAGAGGCGATGGAGACCGGACTGATGACCCTATGATTGACGCATTCCTATCGTGAGCATCTATTAAGATCAGGACAATAACGGAGCAGCTCCAGCCGATTAGGAGTTTCCTTCGCCCACTGTTTCACTAATAAATCCTGAAAATCATTCACAAGAGCAAGTTCAGAAAAGGATGGCGACGAATTACCTCCGAAATTATACCAAAAGCCTCACTACTCATGAGTAAGCTAAATTCCCACCGCATAGTTTCCAAGTGTCATGCCGTGCACCGTCGCTATTAGGAAAACCTTAGCTCGTGGGAGTAACTGCTGTCCTCTGTACAGTTCTTAACTGGCATGGGACTGGAGGATGAACCGGGCTATATCGTAGTCAATTGTCATTCATGCATGTCCGTGGCCATCACCCACGACTTAGTGGCACAAGATGCTGGCATCCGGAAGTCATGGGGTCGGAACCTAGCAGAGGTCCGAAAGATACACACCGCTGACGAGAAACAGCTGTTTGGTGCTTTTCCAGACGTCTCAAAGTCTACTGACAGAGGGGACGGTGACGAATTACCTCTGAAGGAATATGAACAGTTCTACTGGAAATGCTTGTTGACTGACAATAGCTGTGTTCCTCGATTTCAAAAGTGCGGTCAATTCAGTCGTTCAATCGATTCTGTTCGAATTACTTGTGCGAAAAGGTGTTCCCACGAAATTTGTGAACATCCTTCGTGCTCTATACTCGAACACTACAGGCCGCGTCAGGGTCTATGATGTCCTATCGGATAGCTTTTCGACTACAAGTGGCGTTCATCAGGGTTGTCCGATTTCCCCGTTTTTGTTCAATTTCGTCGTGGATTCTATCATGGAGTGTTCCCTTGCGGAATCTCACGATGTAGGCGTCGAAGTGCTGCCTGGTGAAAGGTTAATTGATCTAGATTATACGGACGATATCGTCTTGCTTTTCGACGATTTTGCGGCGGCACAATCAACCCTGAATAGCCTATCCAAAGTGGTCCCCTTATTTGGTATGCACTTTGCACCTTAAAAGTGTAAAGTGTTGCTGCAGGACCACCAGCCACTTGATGACCCCTTGACGCTTGCTAACGAGGAACTCGATGTGGTTGATCAATTCACTTATCTTGGCAGCTGCATCAGCAATGATGGGCGCATAGAAACTGACGTGAGCTCACGCATTGCAAAGACCAGAGCTGCCTTTTTGAATCTCCGTCATCTTTGGCGACAGAAGGGAGTTTCCCTCCGTCTGAAAGGCCGTGTATACAAGACCACAGTGAGGGCCGTTCTGCTCTATGGTAGTGAGACTTGGCCCCTTCGGTCTGAAGAGCTTGAGGCGCCTTCAAGTCTTTGATCATCGTTGTTTGCGAAGCATTGCTGGTGTCGGATGGCACCAGTGTGTCCGCAACGATGATGTGCGTAGGCGAGTACTAGGTGGTGATAATCATGCTAGCTCCCTAGAACAACAGATAACACTGAATAAGTTGCGTTGGCTCGGGCACGTACTACATATGCCTGGTCACCGCTTACCTAGGAGGGCCTTGTTCAGTCTACCAGGTGTAGGATGGCGCAAGGCTCGAGGTGGACAGAAGTTGACTTGGCAGCGGGAAATGAAGTCACTGACGACCAAACTGGGTGCCGTTGGTCCGTCTCGCCTTCTGGGTTGGAGTCCACGTGACTCACCTTGTGCTTGGCTCGCGACTTTACAGGACATGGCTCGCAACCGACACCAGTGGCGCATCTGCTGCCGTCTTCTAATCGGATTGCCTGTTTAAAGTGTGTTTCGTGCTGAGTTATCTGCGGAGTAATGGCTGATTATGACGCGTGGCAGTGAAAGGCGAAAGGAAGCTGTCTCGCTGATGCCGCCTTATCTTTGCACGATAGCCAGCTGTTTGTGACGGTATGTTGTCTACACAAGGTGTAGGCGCCTTGAGCCTGAATGTTTGCTTAGGACAATAAGGTTTTCAGGTAAGTCCCCCCTTCTCTCCCTCTTCTTATTCTTTATTTCATAGGTCCACATGGTTGTGTGGCAGCGAAGCATCAGTTCAAATGGCTGATGTACTGCTGTTGATGATGATGATGATGATGATGACTGGAAACCCATGTAGTCCTGTGGCCTCATTCAATGTCAATAGTTTGATCTCACGTCCGACTTCTGCGCAAGAGGGTGATTCCAAAAAGAATGACCTCTACAATGGGGTGATTATTGGTTAGCAGCGTAGCTAACAGCTCCGGCCGATAAATTGCTTGTTCAGCCCAACGTCCCAAGCGTTTTGACATATGAAGAATAGGCTGTCCGCTCTTGTCGCGTATACTTTTGTTGACACCAAGTCTCCTGCTAGCCATTTCCCATATCAGACGAAATGACTTCCAGTGATTATCAATGGTAACGGATATACCTACATCTGGAACATGAGGAGACAACTAGGTTTAACGGTTGTTTTTCAGGCCAACACGCTACTTTGCTTTCATAGATTTGCGAGTCTCAGTGTTCATTACCAGCAGGAATGTTTCCGTGAGCATATATAAATTTCACAAACCGCATAGAGACCAAATGTCCAGGTTGGTAAGCAGAGTTTGCACACGAAAACATAGTTATTGCTAAAGAGGTCTGGTGAATATGCGACCAGTGGTCTTCAAGTATGTTCAGTGAGCGCTTACTCAACTCCTATGTCAGCAGACAAAAGGGACAGCCTATCCACAACTTATCAAAAGGCTTAGAGCGTTGGGCTGAGCATTTTGAAAAGCAATTTAATCGACTAGAATTGTTTGATTCTTCGCCGGCCAGTGATCGTCTTGCTCAGTGGGCTGTCCCTTTGGATCCACCCTCGCGCTCAGAAGTCGAACGTGAGATCGAGCTGTTGAAGTTAAATAAAGCCGCGGGACCTGATTATCTTCCTCCATTCGTCTTTAAATTCGGGGGACCTGCTCTTGTGGGTGATTTACACGAGTTACTAGTGAAACTGTGGGAGCAGTAAACTGTCCCAACCGATTGGAGCCGCTCCGTCATAGTCCCAATTTTCAAGGGAGGCTCACGATCGGAATGCGGCAGTCATAAAGGAATCAGTCGAATCTCCGCCTCCAAATTGCTTGCCTCTATAATCCTTCACTGACTGACTGGCGCTCGTGAAAGCCATATTTGTGAAGAGCAAGCCGGGTTTCATCGAGGTCGTGGCTGCATTGACCACATCTTCACTTGGCGTCAGTTGTTGGAGCACCGTCACATATACTGGCGGCCCACCGTTGTCGTTTCTCGATATCAAAGGTGCATTCGATTCGGTGATAGACGTGCACTTTGGGACTGTCTACTCAAGAAAGTTGTACCTGAGAAATATGTGAATATTATCCGAGCATTATACGCGCTTAGCTCGGGCAGAGTGAGGGCATACGGCAAGTTGTCGTTGCCCTTTAATATCTCTAGCGGTGTGAGACAAGGATGCCCGCTGTCACCTTTCCTCTTCAATTTCGCTGTTGACGAAGTCATGGATATCACGTTCACAGGACACGACTTAGAAGGTGTGGATCTGCTCCCAGGAGAATGACTTCTTGACTTAGAGTATGCTGATGATATCGCCGTAATCTGTGACAGTTCACCAAGGTGCCAATTGGCACTAGACAGATTAGCACTAGCTGTCCGGGCTTTACACCATCGAAATGCAAAGCGTTCCTCCACTATTGGCCTGGACCGCATCCTTCGCTGACCCTTGGTGTGGATCAGCTAGAAGTCGTACAAAAA